AGTCTTTTCTTCCTCAGGTATTTCTGAGTCTGAGAGGGGTCCTTCTAGAACTGAGCACAGCAGCTTGTCAAGCAGCCCAGCCACTGGTACTCACCCTGCACCTGTACAAACGATCGACGACTCCGCTTGGAGACACTGCGACTTGCTGTCATTGCCTCACACCAGTAATATTTCGAGTCTTCTTTCCATAATGCTGAGATGAAAAGCTCTGATGAGTTCCAGTCTGACCTTAGGATTTGACCATCCCTGAAGAAGGAATACCGAAGCTGGGTCTTCGACCTATCTGAAGGGAGTCGGGTATCACAAGACAGGGTCACTGAGTTCCCCTCAGTGGGCAGCGAGGGTGTGACTGTCAGAGTAGGTGCTGGAAACAGCTCTGCAGGGAAGAATTAAACAGAGAGCCCCAGTCAGTGAGGTATGGAGTTTCTGTCCAGAAGTGCTTGTCTTCTCAGCCCCAATGAGCAGGACACACAGCCCCAGACTCAAAGACAGACAGCCACCCCAAATTTCTGCTGCCCTGGGTGGTCTCCTCTGCCCTTTACCCTGGTCCTCCCACATAGGCCCCACTTTTCCCCAGTCTTTTCCGCTTGAATAGTGAGAGCCTTACCTTGGACAGTGAGCTGTGCAGGACTTGTTTCTTTCAACTCGTCTTTAAGTGAAAACAAATTCTTACTTGCCTTACAATAATAGATGCCACTGTCACTGGGTTTTGCATTTGAAATGATATGGCTTGTGCTGTTAGAGTAAGTGGCTATCCGAGATCTATCCTTGTAGTATATCAGGTTAACTATTTTATCATTTTTNTATAGCTTGAGCTGCTAGAGTAAGTGGCTATCCGAGACCCATCCTTGTAGTACATCAGTCTCTTTATTTTACCATTGTCTTTTCCAGAGCACCTCACAACCACCCGGTCTCCTTCATAGGCATAGCGTGGCATATCGATGGATAGCCAGTCTGCAAAAGATCCAAAAATACTTGTATCAATGCTGCCCACCCTGTGCCAGCACTCTCACCTCTGTTCATAAGGGGAAAGCTAGTACATACACATACACAAGAAGCTGGCCAGCCACAGATTCCTTGGAAGCTACTGGCCTTCTGCCTTCTCTGCTCAACANGCCAGCCACAGATTCCTTGGAAGCTACTGGCCTTCTGGCTTCTCTGCTCAACAAAGGTGAACTCTATTTCACTTAGTGACATCTTTTGTCTTCTACACATTCTATTGGTTTTGTCTCTGTTACAAATGTTTTGATTCATTTTTTCAGGTCCCACCAATTTTCTGGACTAAATATAGATTTAAAACAATTCCACTTACATCTCCTTATATCCATTCAAGTTTCCCTCATGCCCCTGTGATTGACTTGTCCATGATTGACTTTCTCTGCATCTCTCATTCCTTAGAGACTCAGCCCAGCAGTACAATTCAAAGACCTTCCCTTTGTCGTTCTCCCTAGATGAAACAATCTGGGCCACTGAGACATCAGCCCAGGGATCTACAGTTAAATATTTAGAATGTTCTACTAGAAGGCTTTTCTTCAGAGGCTTCTGGGAATCTGCTTGTTTAGGTCATTGCCTCCCCTTGTAAGATAGTGGTCATCAGAAAGCTGATGAGCAGCTTGGTGTGTTGGATCTGGCCCAGCAGGGAAAAAAACACTGGAGGATGGAGAGGAGCTGGTAACCTGTTCTTTAAAAGTTCTGCGGTGGTAAGAGCCAGCCATTGTACTGCTGTGTGACCCGGCCCTGCACCTGGGGTGTTTGAGGGGAAATTTAGATGGTAACTGAGCTAGAGATGCAGGTTCGAGTATCAATTTGGAATTGTAATACACTGGGCTAAATTTCAGGGAAAGTGTTTGTTCTAATAAAAAACCTACTCCCAGGCCTGAACCTTAGGTCATACCCCTTTAGTGCAAAGAAAGGCAGTGTCAGACATGGAGGAACCAAATGGAGAAGGAGACAAAGCATGAGAGTGTTTGTTTAGGCTGTCTGCCCAGTTCACTCCTCTAGCCAGGAGTTTACGGTAGAGAGAAGAAGAGCCCACTCAGGGCCTTGTCTCAGAACAGAGACCATCTTCTCGTGACAGTTAGACCCAGTCTCCCAAGTGGAGTCCACAGGAGGTGGAGAGAAAACCTTAGGACTTCTGTAGTATACCAAACATTGTTCATCTTTTCAATGTTTTGCTTTTGTATATATTTAAAAATATTTCAGTATAAGAATCGATATAATATGTTGGAAGTACAGGCTAAAAATTTTGTTCTTGATAGAGCAAAGTGATCAAATAAGTTTTGAGACAGCTGTTCTATACCTTTTCGCCACTTTGAAAGTCGGAGGATTGAGCGAATGGTGGGGGCTGTAAGGATTGTTAAAGAGAGAGGTCTTAAGCCCTCATGAAGGCCCAAATTTTCTCTCTCTGGGTTGATACTGAGCAAGGTTTTCAATGAAGAGTGTGGAGATAAAACCAATTTGATTAAATAAATATTTGAGAAGTAAGATTCATGTGGCCAATTTGGTAATAATGACAGGGCTAGAGACAGATAAGAAATGATGACTCCTGATTATACTGAGCCTGGAACACAAATTTGATTGTACAACATTTCGGTAAATGGCCTTTAACTTTGACATTTTACCTGTTCCCTAGAGGAAGGCACAAATGTACATATACACACATTTTGCCATAATTCAGGAAGTTTACTGAATTCTATGAGGCTGATCCTGAGACCCTATAATGTATTAATAACATACTTGCTTAAAATTACATCAGATAGAATGCAATTTATATAGTCAGATCTAAGAGTAACGGATATGTAAGTATTACGTCTCCTCCCTGTGATAGGATAAATACTTTCTCAAATAAATGATTAAAGAAGAAAATGTAACTTTCCATTGTAATATAAAACCAAGTTTTCCTCTTTATTTTATTACATTATGACTTTAATAAGAATAATAAGAAGAAAGAAAAATAAGCTATGCAGGGGTATTTGCAATCCCAGTGAAATGTCGCGGGATACTCTTGTTTAATGCAGAGCATCTCTTTGTTCCTCTGCCTACCTCTCTCTTATAGGAAATATGTTTTCCATCACCGCCTCCATTGCTCCTGGTGGGAGCTTTTGACTTCCTTTGGCCAGAGCCAGGAGAGTGTGTTCCCAAGAGTACACTGCATGGTTTGCTTTCCCTTCACAGTTAACTTATTTCCTGTCCCCGGGCTTAATAGTAAAGAGAAAATGACTTATTGCCTTGAGAGGGTCAGTGTAGGGCCTTCTGTACATCAAGCAGGCAGGGAGCAAAGCAGAGAAGCATGTGACGTTGGAGCATTTGTACCATGGCAAGCACGGGGGTGAGGCCCTGCCCCTCACTCTTCCACCCCAGTTCTGCACCTGATCCCTGCAGCCCTCAGCTAAGAGGCTGGGCCAGGCAGTAGCTCCCTTGCCTGGGAGAGTGTGTTTGGTCCCTGGAGACCTAAAGAGCAGAGGAAAGAACTCACCTGACCAGATGCCGACAGGACCTGTGAGGGAGAGAGTCAGAGAGATTAGCACTGGGCCAGGATTTCACACTTTGAGAAAAAGTTGTGACTCCGAAGTACTTTCCCAACAATTCTCTTTACCCTTCTTTTCTTCTATATCTTCTCCCCTCTACCCTGACTTTTTATTCCCTCCTATCCTTCCTCCCTCATTCCCTTTATTACTCTTTCCCTTCATTTCCCCTTCTCCTCCCATCACTCACAACAACACTCCCGTAGAACCCAGTGTTCATTTTGTGAGGCCAGAACAATTTATAAACATAGTTCATCCTCCTTACCATATATTGGCTATTTTGTAGGCAAGTTCTCAGAAGATTTATTTATTCCTCTCCCACCTTATCTTTTTAGACTTTTAAAGACGGAATATTTTGTTTGAGACATATTGCCTGCCTGGTGGCAACACAAAAGCCAGGAAAGGCCAGGAAGACAGTGGAGCTGTCCTCTCATGCATCATGAACACTGTTTCTCTCTCTTTCCCTATTCTAGGTCTAGTACCATGTTTGCATCCATAGGCTAGAGTCATATTTATCAGCTAAAGCTACAATTAGCAGGACTTGAAAGCCTCTCTAAAATTTAAGTCTAGAAATGTAAGAGTTCAGACAAAAATGTGGTATCCTGGAGTGGAAGTGGAGTTGAAGCAGTGTAACATTTAAATGGGCTGGAAATAGAGTTTACCCTAACAGAAAACTTCTTTGATATCCTTTAAAGAGTTTCCATGATTTTCCCAGAGATCAAAGCATTAATAAATGTTAAACCAAGGAAAGAGGCATCAGTATTTGGAAAAGAGATTCATAGTCTTTTGGTTTTCCTGGGAACCTTGCTCTGCTCAGTAGCCACTTGCATAATATTTGTTGGTCCTGAGTTAGAAGCTGAAGTCCATTCCTACTCATCCCAGCTGAGAGACCTGTGCTCTAAAAGAAGTTCTGAAATGCCCAAGCACAAGAGGTTCTGCTCTGCTTCCACCCAAGTCTTGCTCTAGCATTCTACCTACCGAGGACCAGAAGCAGTAGCCACAGCAGCATGAGGTTGGAGGTGAGAAGTTGTCCCAGTGACAGTCAGGTGCAGCCCAGGTCCTGGAGCAGAGTCTGTCCCCACAGAATGTGAAGCTGGGTTTGGGCACTGTGGTTCATCAGCAATTTTATAGGAATAGAAACCAGGAAGTAGAAAAGCTGTGTTTGCCAATCAGCATTCTCCTTACCCCCAGTCTCACAGATGCTGAGAAAGTAAATGTTTTTCATAGAATTGTTCAGATATGTGCGTATTGGTCAGAAATGCCCTAAAAATGTAAGGTGTCTTTATCCTATAGGTAAGGTCCTTTCAGAGAAACTTTCTTACTTGTTTTGACTTTGCAGAAAACATTGATTGAGTTCTGGAACTGCTAAAATCACTTGCTGTTCTCTTTCACAGGGAAATCCCCTTTACCACTTGGGATAAATGCTTTGTTCTGCAATTCCTAATATTGTGACACCATGCCAACACTGCATGGATGCTGCTCTGTGGAAATCCACCCAGATCACATGAGGAGACAAACCCAAATTTGTTAGAAATGATGGTGGGAGTAGGATTATATTAGACAGCATTATGTGTGGTCCAGGGGCTCAGGAGGATGCAAATTCTCCTGCACCCAAATGATTCCTGCCCACAAGATGTTCTAGACAGATACATGCAGAATGGAAGAAGTAATAAAAATAATCTGTGATGTCAGCTTTGAGGCATTAGCTCCAAACCACTTTTCAGTGGTGTGCAGGACCTTAACACACACATGAGAGGTAAGACATGTCTTCTAATACTTCAAAGTTTAAGAATAAATTTAGGAAGAGAGCCCTCACATCAGGTGGAAATAGAATTCACCCTAGTGGTTAAAAGAAGTAACAAACTAAAGATAATTAGCCACCCACCAGCCACTGGGAAGCTGTTAGGGACCCCAGTGCTGAAGAAGGAAGGAGAGAAAGGATTAGAAAGCCCAGTGAGGGGGGGATCCAAGGTCAAGGTGGAGTAGGTGGAAGTCACACTTACCTCCTCCCAGCCACACTGGAATTACAACTAAATGTAGAACAATCAACCTAAATAATCAACTGAAGACTAGCTGAACAGAAGTCATATAACCAAGGATTTAGAGAATAAGCCACATGGAGACTGATAGGAAGGGCAGAAATGGGAAAAGAGCTGGACCCATCCCACCAGTGGTGGCTGAGATTCTGGAGGGATAGCTCAGCTGCAAAGGTTCCACTTGAGGAGTGTGGGGTCTCAGCCCCACACTGAGCTTCCCAGCCCAAAGTACTAGAGCAGGCAAGAGGTGCCCACATAATATCTGGCTGTGAAAATCAGTGGGGATTCTGTCAGCCAGGCAGAGATGAGACTCTTAGAAACACAGGTGCCCTTAAGGGGCCAACATACAAAATCTCCTGCACAGCCACTCACTGTGG